TATGTTGTTTTTTTTTTTCTATCCAAAATTGACCTGGAGACTCTAATTCATTCACTTATAGCATCTAGCCTTGACTACTGTAATTCCTTGGTTTGCTGGGCTTGGAGCCAAATCGATTGGCAGACTCCTACTAATTCAGAATTCAGCAACGAGGCTTCTGACCCAAACCATGCCAACTCTATATCCTCCCTGTGCAGCGAATCTGTATTTGAAAAGCATGTTATACATTTACTATAACAGTTTCCTTTACACTGTAATTTTATGGGTGGGATTTTTCTTTTATCCTGCGTGTCAACTGTTGTGCTCATACAGATTTTTTCTGAGCTAAATTGCCATATATTCTACTCTTGCACTTACAGTAATTTAGTGCAAAGTCCTTTTCATCCTGTATCCTAAATTGGTGGAATTTTGAGTGAAATTCTATATGAAATCTGATTATTTTATCTGTCAGTGAAGACCTTTTGTTTTTATTTTAACACATTGTATTTCAGTTTCTATTTTGTTTCATTTTTATTGTGGTGTCATAAAGCATTTGGTTGCTGATGTTGCTTATTATTCCATAAAAGAAATTAAAAATTATCGTGCATGCATGGCAGCTGATAACACAATTGGCAAAGGAAAAATTGGTTACCTCTTGTCTCCTGAACACAAGGAAGAATTCCATCCTTCACTCAATTGTATTTAAAATAGCCTGCCTGATAAATGTAAGGGAGAGTAAAACTGTTCTCTCTGCCCCTTATTCTGCAGATATGGCTATATGTTGGTTCTCATTTATTTCTCTTCTCTAATAGTATCATTTTCAAATAACCTGTATCAAATTGTCTCTTCCCATGGAGATATTCTAGTTTTCTCTTTAATCCAATCTTCTGTGAATATCCTACTGGCATAACTTAGGGATTCTTGTTGGCGTTGCTTCTAGTTTTTCTGTTTTTTACATTTACACTTGATAACAATATTCTATTTACAGTGGCATATTCTATTCCAGTGGCATGTTTTATGGCAATAAAAAATGAGATTTAAACTTACATTTAATATGCTTATACCTCTAATAAAGTGTTTCTAGTTACACTGCAGTTGTTAAGCATTGACACCTCCGTATCTTTCTAGGCTTAGATTTTTTTTTTTTCATTATTTATAAATCATCAGAAAAACAATTACATAGAATCCCTTGTCTTGAAACATGCCACATAAATTACCAGCCACAGAATAAGTCATCAGGAAAGATGCAATTATTTATACACTGTAAGTTTTATTCATAGGAAAAAAACAATGACATGGCATGGACCCTTCCAGAACAATGTGTTTTTTTTAAAAAACCTAATTTAGTAAGGAAACAGCTTTGCATATGGTCAATGAAAATTTGATATAGCATGGAACTTACCAGCAGATGTTTGACAATGAATATTTCATGCTACTTAATAATTCTACTTACTAGTCACAGTTGATAGTGCAGTGCATCCTAGATCTCAAGGTGCCTTAGAGAGATAGGCACGACCTATTATTTCATTTTGGAAGTTTCCTTCTGGAGGTCAGGCAACAGTCTGAAAATCATGCTCAGCAGCTAGGCTGGGAAAAACTGCTTCACTTAGATTCTGCAGATACCAGCCCCAAATGTGGGAACTCTCTTTGGCCAAATCTTACCAAGGCAAGGAAGAAAAATGAGTTAACTGGAGAGCTTCTCAGACTATGTAAGCTCTCCTGGCCTCCCCTTGTGGGCTCATGCTGCCAGTGTACTTACCCATACAAAGTTGTTCCTGGTCAGGGGTGAGTACGTCGTCTTGTCTACCAATTAGCCAGAGCACAGGAGTTATTCCGTATCTGGTCTTTCAGGTTGTCTGTGAGAGAACAAATGAATCCCGATACAATGTAAATTAACCTAAAAACAACCTAATTAACCTAACCTGTGAACTTGCAGAATGAGTGTATACTAGGTTGGCAGCTCATAAAACAGTAATGTGGGATTTTGGTACAGTACAAGGAGACATGAAGCTGCTTTCCTGTACTGTCAAACCATGGTCTAACAATGGTCTTGACTGCTCTTTAGCTTTAATGTCATGCTTGGAGATCTTTTAGGTTGGGCATTCCTAACTGTTGTTTGTAACACTTCGTAGCCTAATATGTTGTTTATATTTAAATTGCTGTATACGTGTTGATAATTTCTTTGAATACATAGCAGTGGACACTGTTTTTTGACATATATAATTTATTTTTTTTTCCTTAAGGCCTAAGAGATCTTTTCCCTTAAGGCTCTGAGTCAAGACTTCGGTCAGCCTGAGGACTCTTGGCTGAGCTCAGAGTATGACTTTGCTTTCACACACATCATTATAGAGCACAATATGCACTATGTGTGAGAAAATGAGAAGGGCAACTCAACCTAACTGTAGGCATAAAGAACTTTCTAAATCTTAGTTACTGTTAACTAACATGAGTCACAATGGGCATTTAATATTCTCCCCTATGTTTGCCTTATTATCTTTTGCTTCCTGTTGGACAATATTTCTTTACACTACTTGATTTTTAGTATTTCCAGTGTTCACACTATTCTACAATTCTACATCATTTTATTTTATTTTATTTTATTTTATTTTATTTTATTTTATTTTATTTTATTTTATTTTATTTTATTTTATTTTATTTTATTTTATTTTTTAAATACTAGACAGTTATGTAAGGGAGGGAGATCCTTTTTCTGCTTTTCATTTTGTCTATTGCAGTTATGTCAAAAAAACTCTTTGACATCTTCCTATCTTGTATTTTCACTGAGGATAGTTTCTGAAATGATCAGATAATGACTTTTGATAAATATTAACACCCGTTCACAGAATGGAAATTAAACACTTCAAAGTTCAAATGTGTTTCAAAATTCAGATGATCTTATTAATGTCCATTAGTACAAAATGGAAAACCAGCTCTTTCTCATATCTTTGTGATTCTTTGTGAATCTTTTCTACTTGAATTTCCACTTGCAAACTAAAAACAGGTTGTTAATTAAGCACAATTTTCTGAGCACCTGGGTCATCAACACAATGATAGTAATTAAAATCTAGCCTCAGTTTCTATACACATAATAATAGAGTGCTTTAGCATTTTCATTCTTCTCAAATTAATTGAATAAATATACACCTCATAACTTCCTTGATACATCCCCCTTCATTCCAAGCAAGTTCTAATATGCTGAAATTATAGTATCTCCTATTAAAACCTGAATGAATCACAAATGGATCAAATCATCACACAGTAGTTTTAAGTCAACTTCTTTAGTATAAACAACATATAAGATTTAATTTTAAAATTTTTATTTCTTTATGAGTTAATTAAGTAGCCATGATGGTTGCAAATAAAATATTCCATATACAGAATCATAGAATAATTTAGGTTGGAAAAGACCCTTAAGATCATCAAGTCCAACCGTCATCCTAACTCTACCAAGTCCACCATTAAACCATGTCCCTAAGTGCCACATCCACACATCTCTTAAGTATCTCCAGGGATGGTGACTTCACCACTTTCCTGGGCAGCTTGTTCCAATGCCTTACCACACTTTCCATGAAGAGAATCTTCCTAATACCCAATCTATACTTCTCCTGGTGCAAACTGAGACCATTTCATCATGTTCTATCACTTGCCACCTGAGAAAAGGAGTGAACACCCATCTCAATGCAGCTGAGTCTGTAAGTAGTTTGCAAAAAGAGAATAAAAGTGTTCCTGTTCAATTTGAGTGAGGTTATTTTTCAGATTTAAAGGTGAAAAATCTACAACTGACTTACTAGGTGACCTCACCATTTTAAGCAAGCATATATAGCAAGATCCTTCACATCTGTGAGTAGAGAAGAGAAAGAGAGAAGCTGTCAAGCAGCTCAATGAGAGACCAGATCAGAGGCCATTACAGCACTTCTACTGCCTTCTCCTTCAATGAAAGAGGAAAGGAGAAGGTGTTGCAAGCACAGCTTTACAAACATTGAACTTTATTTTGGCCCAAGAATCTAAAGAGGTCAATATCCAATAAACTTGTCACAGACTTGAAGCTTTTTAGAGTTTCACTTCATAGGTCAGCACAGCTGTTCACTCAGGAACGCAGCCCAGGTCATTTGTAAAAATCTGGATTTCATAATGGTCTTGTAGTCAACAGTGCCAGGGTGAAAGCAACTTACATCTTGGCCCAATCATTTGTAGGGAGGTCACTGCTGTGGAAGGACAATATTGCTCGTAACTAGAATGAAGAGACAGAAAATAGGGTTGGGAGAAAAGGTTCTGGTTTAGGATGAACAAATAGTTAAAAACTTAAGTATCTTAATTTCCCCAGATAATTGTCCTAAACAATGATGTCTGGCTTCAGAATGAATTCATTAGAGTTGAATGATGGAAGCCCATTTCACATCTCTTCCTCACTTGCACAAAAATGTAACTGTTCATATACATAAAAATACATAGGCCATGGACACAGGACAAAATGATCTGCAACAGGTGAGCTTCTATATACTAAATAAAGGAGAAGAAGCAGCTGCAGTTACAGTGTGCAGCATTTAAATATGGTTTAGTGCTTCCTATCTGCTGGCAAATTCCCCCTGTTAGTTACCTACCCTTGCAAGCAGAACCTGCTTTTCTTTCATGCTTTCGTTTTTTCAGTCAGCTCATCTGTACACAGCTGCTGCAGGGGAACACACGTCAGGTTTATGCCTTGAGTGTCATGCCTATACCACAAACACAAAGGCACGTGGCTGCACAGAAGGTTATAGCAGGCATCACTGGGAAGCAGCTGCATGCATGTTCTTTGGTACATAGTTATAAGATATGTAGACTAAAGTTATGGAGACAGACTTGAAGGCAGACATCTCCAACATTGATAAAATGTAAGTACAAAAGACACATAATTGGATGGATATTGATGATGTTGTTTCAGTAATGACATCATCCATAGACTCCTAGTGTCTTTGCTTTGCTTCTCTATAGTGATCACAACATAAATTGCTTGTCTTGTTTGACTTCCTTGTTCACCAAAGTTGAGCAGATTGTCGCCGTTTTCAACGCTTCTACCAGACAAAAAGCTTGGGACCATTTCTCGAAAGCCCAGCGAAAGAACATAGACATTTGGCGAAAGCATTCTGAGGTTGGTGATTTTATTATTACTTTCTATCCATCATCTCACAGCTGGATTGACACAGAATGAGTGTGATTTTAGCTGGACATAGAGTATTCAACAATATTTATGGCTACCATTTTAGCTGTTAATCAACTGGCCATTATACAAGCTCATCTACAGTATGAATTGCTCCCATTGCTCTCATTATGATAATAGTCATTAAATAACACTAAGATAGAGAGCAATGTGTTTTTATTTTTCATGCAAGATTTGGGAAATCGTTGGAGGAATATGTTTACTAACTAAAATAATGAACTGAAGTAGTGAAATTAATAAAACTATTTTCAACCAAGGATAGAATTAAGAATTATTTAAGAAAAGCATCTTTGTAAGAGTCATCATGACCTGGTCCTAAAAGAAGGATTCTATGGCACAATTTTTTTCTGGTTGTACCATCATATGGTCATTGTAAGATATTTTGCCTGAAAATAACATAAGAAAATTTCTTTCCTAAAAAATGACTTAAGCATACTCAGTCCAGAATTATGGCATACATCTTCCCATTTGTTTTATGTTTGTCTTTAAAAAAAATAGAAAAATAAATAAATCATTTGCATTGATTCTAAGTATATTGCTTGCGAAGAAAAGAGTATAAATGTAATCATAATACCACAAGGATTAGCATACATGTGTGACTGTCATAAGCATGAACAGAGGAAATAGGATTCTAACTCTCTTTGCTGCAAGTGGCAGCAAAGGAAGTGATAGACCTCATCTTGTGTTTTGGTCATCCAGCTTTGGTTTTTAATTCAGTATATACGCTATGAGCCTGTATGTTAAAAAGTAAGTACCACTGTCTTTGTTTTCTCTCTCTCCTCTTCCTTTTTTTTATTTTTTTTATTTTTTTTTAATATGAGCAACTTACATACACTTGGCTTACCTTCATGTAGTACAGTATGTTGATTGTTAGTATGAAGGTCCTTTAAATGATTTTTCTCTGTCTCAAAATAAAAACTTTAGAAGGTAAGGTGCACTTATTTAATTATTTTGTAGTACACTTGTAAAATAAGTGTTGTACACTTAGTTTGAGAAACACTAAAGTGCTGTGATATAAATCATTTGGATAACATTTTAAGTGCCCATTAACTAATGCTAAATTACAGTTGAATACCAATGGCACTAAATGTAACATCCACATGAATACCAAATGAATTCTTTATTATCAGTGCTATTATGGTGAATACCAAATGACTTCAAAATAATGGGACACTTAAAATAAAATGTTAGCATAATTTATTTCTACAAACTGTATTTTGCATTTTGTTCACAAATATTTCATAAAAGTAGTGGATAAAGCCTGGGTTTAATTCAAAATTGGGAAGTTGGGGGTTGATATTTGTCTTATCACTCAGTAAGGTATAGAAGTATGATTTGTTGGTAGTTTATTTCAATTACTTTAAGACGATCCTGTCTTAAACCAACTTTCCGTAAAGGGATGTGGTATATCATTGATTTGCTGGCTTCTAAATCTTTAATAAAATGAAATGTTTAAGGGTTGAACTTTCCAGAAATGTTAATTCACTACTTGCTTTTTCAAGTATTATTGCCTTTTGTTTTTCTAAAAGGAGGATATTAAAAGCGATTCAAAAACATGTGAACCCTCTCACTGAAACAACAGATTTTAGAAATGCCTGTTTTTCAGATGTAAAACATGACAGAAATGTACCAAATGGTATCTTTGATTTAAATCATACTGTCTGACCATGACATTATCTGCTGATTTCCTTAATTATCTGATCACCTACCCTTGTGTTCTGACTTTAGGAGAGCTTTGCTAGAAACCCAAGCCCAGAGCAAACACTCATACACATTGACGTTCTCCGTGGAAGATTATTGGCTTTGCTGATAGCATAGAAATTGATGCACCAAGGACATTTATCCCCTAAAGAGGGAATAAATGTAAGCTTATGTCTGCTCCTGTATGCAGTCAATATTCCCCAGTAAAAAGTGCAGGTGGCATTTTCCAATAAGGAAATAAGCTTGTTAATTTCTTCCAGAGATGCCACTTATTGCATGAGACACTAGTTGAGAATTTACCATTTTAATCACTTCCTTTTTTTTTTTTTTTTTTTTAATTTGAAATTATTGTATAAAAGCCCACTAATTAGCTTCCTTGCCTTTGCTGTGATTAACGGACATGTATACATCTATCAGAGTATTTGAGATCTCCTGATGAACCAAGGGTACAGCTAAAGGGAAACGCCTTTCCTTTTTTCATCCAGTCCCTCTTTGATAGCTTATTGTTAATTGCATGGAGCTGTGGTTGGGCTCTTCAATAACGTTCATCCTTCCATGCACCTCTTTCTTGTTTCAAAGATTTCAAACCACCTCTTTGGGAATTAGACTCTTTGTCGTCAGAAAAATTAGCTGTCTGCAGGCTGAAAAGGCCTACACTAATCACGGTGCAGCATCCCTGTGTTACACCTGACAGGATTATTAGGACAAAATAGAGTTCTCTCAATCTTCTCAGCACTGCCTTTAGAAAGCCAGCCGCTACACCAGCGCCAGCCTTTCTGCCGAGAACAAAGACTGTCTAGGTTCCCACAAAGCCCCCATGCCTGATCATTTCCCCAATGAAACGTGCACAGGTTTCCTACACCCTGCCCTTGCAGTGGTCACTCAGAGACCAGTCAGTAGTTTCCCACCAAGACTCAGACATTTTCAGGACAGAATAAGGCACTTTTAGGGTGAAGTTAATCTAACTTCATTTTGATAATTACCTTATGGATATGAATTGCTTAAAGGTGCTAGGGTTTTTTATTTTTTCTATGAAAGGTGTCTGTAGGAACTAATTTTATTGGATAAACCTACATTATACCAGAGGAATCCTACCCCAAGTAACAGTGAGAAACAATAATTCTTTATACCTTAAACAGGCTAGCAAGTTATCAGTCTGCTTTATATACAGTTTTAAGCATTATCATTGCTGCTAAAACCTTCTATGTTTAGTAGAACTAAAGATCACTTGAAATGGAGACCCAATTTTTCTCGTTTCCTCTTTTACCATTGATAAATTCAGTTCTTCCACGTGAAGAATTCCCTGTACTACTGTTCTTATAAATATTCATAGCCAAATAAATGTAATTACAATGGTAAATTATGTATAATTAAAAATAAGAGCAGTTTTAAAAACAGATACTATTGATAAAGCAGTGACTTTATGTAAGTTAATACTGACAAAAGGTTGTTTTGGATTTTAGGAGCTCCGAAATGCTCACAGTGAACAGCTCATGGGAATCCGCCGGGAAGAAGAGATGGAAATGTCAGATGATGACAGTGGTGACAATCCTAGTAAAAAGCTGCGAGTAGATGATTCAGGTAAAGCCAAATCCTCTCTAATGTACCCAAGTATATATAGCTGTTGTTTTTTTTTAAAAGCAAACAAAAATTCACATATGAGAAGTGACATATTAATAGCTGATTATATAAAACTATCTTATTATAAATCCTCATAAACTAGTTATCTGAATGATACGAGCTGTGTCTAGGAGGTTTCTGTCACCTGCTATGATGATAATGATGAAAACTCTCCAATTCTGCCCATGGCTGGAAGCATTATGTTTCTTTAACATGCTGTCTGCAGTCTTGCATAGTACTATTTAATTCCACAGTAGTAACAACATCTTACTGTGAGAGAAATCGCAATTCTGGTTCAGTCAGTATTTTCTAAGACTTACCTTTCTTAACAGCAAATCCACAGTAATGTTTAACAAATACACTATACCATTTTAACTGTGTGTTTTGTGGAATGGACTTTTAAGGGTACATTTTTCACAATATGGTACTGCATGCTGCATTAATTTGATGCACATTAGATGGCTGTCATGAAAAAAAGAACAAGGGTGATTGTAATGTTTGGAAAGGAAAGCAACTTTTTTCAGCATCCTCCAAGTACATCCGAGATCCAGAGTGGACGTTCAAGGGCATGGCTTGAAATCTACTAATTTACTGGTAAAACAATCTGGATAGAACCTTTGATTGATTTCTTGACATTAGCTAACAAAGTTGTGAGAAGTTAACAAGAGTTTGCCTGTTCAGAAACTCATCTTCGGAGAAAATTTACAGAAGCTGAAGCCAAAGCATGACTGCAAACAGCCAGAGAGCAGTGAGCTTTACAGAAGGTAAAGAAGGAAAAAGTAGTACAGAAAGAAACAGTCTGATGATTAGGATAATTTTGGTCTAGGCACCATGTAGGCACCATATTAAGAAAGGAAATAATATCCATTCAATGGGTTCCAGTGCTCATAGAGAAGTGTTCTTTGACTCCTCTTGTGACAAAATGCTGTGTGAGGTCAAATTAATCCAGAAGTAAAGACCAAAGGAAGGAGTGTCATTCTGGAAAGGAAATTTTTACTATGGTATTTCTCATTAGGGGAGGATTAATGTTTTTCCTGCAAGAAAAATGCATCAATACAATATGTAAAGGGTGGCCTTAATTTTTACATGTCTAATTGCATGAGTTGGAATTTTCTAGAGACTATTAGCAGAATGCTTGGGGCTGAGACATTGGGTCTCTGCAGGCAAAGTACTGTTAGCAATCAGAGATTTTTATGAGTGTCTAATCATTTTACCTTGACTGTGTCCAGTCAAAGTCAGCAGAATTAACAATGGGAAGGTAGAGCCAGAAATACCCACAGCCTGCACTCCAGAAAAGGAGTAATGATGTTTTAAACTGCCATATTCATTGGTTCAGCTGGATTTAACGTATGCGTGTGTAGGGCTGAGCTGTGCAGGTCATTCTTTTTGCCTCTGGTTAGCAACATCACAAATAGGAAAGCATATTTGGTTTTCTTCCATAAAAAGGGACATTTCTATCAAATGATTTGATATCTGAGATTTCTACCGCATTCCAAAGTACTTCAGTTTATTTGTATTGTTACAACGTGGGCACTTGACTCCCCTCAATGATGAGAGTAGCAAGCCCTGTACTTTGTTGCATACTAAATCAAAATTTAGCAATATGAATCCACTTGAGTACTTGTCCATCATTGTCCATTGTACCATTCATCATCCTCTTGATCTTAGTGGAGATGATCCAGCCTGCTGCACAGAGTCATCCAGTTCTAAAATTACTTTTTATAGGTTTCTTCTTCTAACATTACACTGTCAAGTAAAGCAAGTGAATTTTATTCATCTGTCATTGACAATAGGGGGAACTTGTTATACCATAAAAAGTATTGTGTATAAAATATGGACAAATAAAAATAAAGTAAGAGAAAAACATATTTTTCATTTTTATGTACAGTATTTTTTTAAATTGTTATTGGTGTTAGCCACCTTCTCTTTTTCTCTTTTTCTTTTTTTTTTTCCTTTCTTTTTGAGTATGAACCACCAGAACCACCTCTTTATCTCACTGGCGTGGCTATTTGTATTCAAGTAGTTATTTGTATTCATGGTCACCTTTGTTTTACAAAGAATATCTTTTAAAGAGTCTTTCATCACAAAGAAACAATTCTGCACAGTAAGAAAACATTGGCATTTTCCTTATTTTTAACCCCTTCTCTTAAAATATTTGCCTAAATGCTTAACCATGGGGAGGACAAGGCTTGAATAACACAAGTAAGACGTTTCACTTCAATTCAAAGACTCTTCAATTCAAAGACAGCATGCACATGTAAAGGCTTAAAAGTCCGCCTCCAAAAATGTCAGAAGCAACCAGACATGATGAATTGATTTGTATAGTTCCAGAGTTTTGGATTGCCTCTCCTACCATCCTAAGGACTTTCTTGAGGACTTTGTTTTTCAGCCTGGCAAATGAATTTCACCATCTACTCAAAGGTGGGAACAACACTGATGTAAGGTTACCATCCCCAAACCTACAGCAGGTAACAGATTTCCCCAGTCCCTAACACCTGTGCGAGCTCTTTTTTATTAATTCACCCATTTAAATCATCCCTGGTGCAAGAAGGCATAATTTCTAATTAATACAACAAATTTGGTTGGTTTCTAAGTCTTGATTCCATCTCACTAAAGTGTGCAGTTTCAGCAGTCTTCCAGTGTAATTTCTTCTGTTACTCAAGCCTTTTTCATTCAGAAATAACACCACATCTGAAAGCATTTAGATAGTGTGGTGCTGACTGTGTCACATCTCCTCACAGCTAGACTGAATTAGAATGAAAACTCTTTTCTACAATATCTGAAAACTATCACCGTGAAAAGGAGAGGGTGGATTCCAGCCCCAACATTTGAAAACACAGAGCAGCACATCTAAGTCCTGAGACTGTGTGAGGACCTCAGTGCCTGACTATTAATCCAGGCTTGCTGGACGTCAGTTTTCAGAGCAATGTTACAGTGAGCCAAGCCCTTGTACACAATAAATTCTGTGGATTTGGAGTAGATGATGAAAAATCAGTTAGCAAGAATGGTTTGCATTCTTCCTTCAAGCCATGAAAGATATTAAGTCATGCAGGAGAACAATTTGTGTTCTGTATTAGAAATCTGCTAATGGCTGTTTGTTTGGGAAAATTCATGATTGTTTCTTGAGGCAATACAGAACTGCTCAAGAGGGACTCATTGCAAAGTGCATCGCTCTATTCTAGACTCAAATCCTCTTCTTTCACCTGCCAATTGCTCTTCTCCTGCTTGTTGATGAACCTGATTTACTGATATCATTGACTCAGTGGAAGAGCTGGGATGAGTATTGGGACCTTTGGTCTCCTGGACCTGTCTTCCATTCTGTAGCTCATGTTGTAGGGCTGGGGTACTGTCTCCTGTACAAAGAACTTCTGATCCTCCGGTTGTTTTACGAGTTATTCTCCTATGTATAACTTAGTACTCCCCCTTTTTTAGAATGTGCAAGCAATGTTCAAGGAAAGGGGAGGCATCACTGCCTGCTTGTTTTGTTGGAGAGCATCTCAAACTGCTGCCAGGACCTCCTAAACAGCACCCCAGGGGAAAAATTAAGTTAGCTGAACCAGCATATATGCCTAATTTATAGGAATTCTTCCTGGTTTCACAGACCAAAGATTGTTTGCTTTATGGGGAAAGCTGGCAAAAGGCTGACCTGAGACTGAGTGAATCTGGCCTGTGGGCAGAGCTATTCCTCCAGAATTATGTTTTCTTCAAAATTCAGCCTTTAAACAGTGATTTTTCTGTGTTGTGGATTTTGGAGTTTGAAAGGGACAAGAGGATTGTTAAAGTAAAGCTGGAAGATTGCTAAGAAAAAAATAATAATGATGATTGGCAACTCAGTTAATACATTTGAAAGTCAGGGTGCAGTTACTGAAGCATTAGCACAGGGGAAAAAATGAGATTCTGTGCTGGAGTCTAGAGGATATAGGAAAATCTTCAGAATGATCAGGATTTATGGATGCTTCATCTCCCACCTGCTGGCACTGGGAGTAAGGATCCACATGTAAAAGCCTCCAAAGTAATTTTAAGAATTAGTGAAGTGAAGCTGTGTGTTGTAGAAAAGAGCTGAAGTTTGGTTTATGCCTAGAAGGCACCTGTAATTTTACTTTTAAGGGGAGGTGGGTTAATCTCTCGCTTTTGCAGTTCTCCGCGACATGCCATTAATTCCAGCTCTAACTTCAGTGAGAGACAGCGGTCGGCACTGCGGGAAAGAGAAAATGCACAGTGCTTGCAGAGGGACACAGGAAGGATAGGGCTGGGATCGCAGAGCCCTGGGCCAAATCTACATACCTCACCACAGGACAAATCAACGAACCTAGGGTATTTCAGTATCAAAGGGAGGCAATGATACTTCTGTTCATTCATCCACTGCCTGTCCTGTCCATGCGGATGATAAACACCTTGGAACAAGCCAGTCTCTGCTAAATATGGAACAGCCCACTCTTTGGGCCCTGGAGTATTTCAACACCATCATTTTACCTGTGATGACATGTCTTAATAACATCCTGGGGACTGTATGCAACTAATAAATTGCACGTTAAGCAGTGCATGCCCAGTCTGAACACACAAGACCTCCTTGGCAGGATACCATAACATGCCCAAATTTAAATACTTCAGCTCGTGTCTTAACAGCAGCCTGTATCTTTAAGCACTCTTCTGAATCGATGTGTCCTCTTTGCAGCATCAGCAGAGTTAGTTGCCATAGGAGACAGTCCGAACAGTGGGCAGTCCATCTGACAGAAGAGCATAAGTCCTTGTGAAAGTCAGGATTTGACAATCACACCCCTGTGCACACAGCATAAAACAGGCTTTGTGGTATTGTCCATAAGTCTATCCTGAAACTTGCAAGCCTGGCAAGTCTTCAAGGAAAGTCTGAAACAACACCAAAGTGATCTGCGTGATGCTTATTCATCTTTTCTCTGCAATTCAATCTTCTTTTGCCTTCTTTAAAGCTCGTGTGAATGCAG